ATTCCTTTAATAAATAGACAAAGGGTATAGTTGTGATTTGCACTTACTGATTGGTAAAACCAAGAAGAAGGGCAGCCAGCAGAGGATGAACATGCCCACCACCACACCCAATGTCTTGGCAGCTTTCTTCTCACGAGAGAACTTGAGCAGCTTGACGGTAAGTGCGTTACGCCCTGCCGTAGCCCCGCCCACTCCTGCTTTGGAGGGCGGACACAGATCATGGATCTGTTGGTTCCTGCAATGAATCCTCAGGGTGAGCTCATTGGAGTCCTTGGCTTGGTCCTTCATCATGCCGGCCTCCAGGTTCTTGGTGGTGCGTTTGGCCACCACGTACACTCTGCAGTACATGGCCAGGATGACGGCCAGAGGGATGTAGAAGGAACCGAGAGAGGAGAAGAGAGCGTAGAACGGCTCCTCTGTGATCAGACACACCGTGTCGTCCTGTAGGATGGACAGAATCAGCAGAACTTTATCTGATATGAACTATGACACAGGGAAAATTCTATTAAGCAACTGGGTTTATAAAATGACAGCAAAAATGTTGTTCACATCTTCAAACTGTGTTTTCTAATGCTTGATCAGAACCAAATGCTTGATCAGAACCAAATAACCAGGAGAGGCAGTGTGACTATGAGGACAGAAACTAGCTGCTGCTCACACGAACATCATGCAGTGGGGGTGTTTCACTGCTGGAAGTAAAAATGCATTGCTAAAACAACAAGTGTTACCACCAGATTCTCCTGCTTCTGCTGAGTTTTCCAATTCAATAATGACTTTGATATATTAAAATGGAGTTATAATCCCCAACCTAGACTAATTAAACACTTATGAAGATTCCTGACGGCTTAATAAAGCTTACGGTAAATGTTCAACTTATGTATATAATTTTACCCTGTTTGGATAAGATTAAATCCAATAAATCAAAACTATTTATAAAAAAATAATTAAAGCTGCATGAAGTATAATCACCCCATCCTGAGAAAAACAAATCTAGCAAATCCTTAAAAGCCCCAGAATAATATGCCCATGATGAGTGAATGGAAAGTACATAAAATCCTGTGGTTCTCTATAAATCACATAAATCATTGTGCAATTTTGCACAGGGGTATGAGCCTGGATTCCCAGACTCTTTCACTAAGAATAAACTAACATTTCCCTTATTTGCAACAAAATATGAGAAAGTCAGCAGCTTAACTTTACCAAACATGACTTAGAATATCAATACTGAAAATATATGAAAATCGTTTTTTTTTTAATATAATTTTCTACAGGCTCTCCATAAAATTGTGTTAAACAACAAAAAGAAAAAAAAAAACTGAAAATGCAATCCTCACCATCATCATTGGAAGGAGGAATGAAACATTTATGACCCACAGATGATCCCAATAGTGACATGAACAAACAGATGGAAAACTGTCTGTTGATGTCCTGAAACAGATTTTAGGAAGCTGTTCATGAGACAGCCGTCATCTGCTGCCGGAACAAAATTAAATTGCAACGAGATCTAGGCAGACAGTTGATGTGGATTTATTTTTATAGAAAAACTGAAATACTTGTTGAAATAAGTTAAAGCAATGGAATATGAAACAGTCTGGCAGGGATAACACAAACCAGGATATTTATTACTGCCAGATGTGGTAAGCTACATGTAAACTTGAAGTCTCATCTATAAAATATTGTATAGGATCCATATTAAGTGTTTAATGTGTGATTTTATTAATGTTTTTAGGCTGCTGCTCTTTTGCCAACATAAAATTCTGAATGCTGGGCTATGTTGGGAACCCTGGGAACTCTCACATGATTGGCTTAGGATCTAGGAAGTAAACATGAGCCACACACTGCACCAAAGTAGTTTCAGACCGCAGTTTTAGGTTTGAAAGAAAAAAAAAAACTTGACATTATTGATGGAGAGGACTATTTGTTTACAGGGAATGTTAGTTCCATCCCAGACGACAAATGGGAATGATTTGGGATAATTTTAATGTAAATATTTTATTTATTGCACATTTAAATGAGCCAGTGTTATGTTATGGTTACCAATAACAACCACAAGAAAGAGTGCAAAAGATGCAGTTTAGCTAGGTAGAAATACATGTGTTGGTACAAGTATATGGAGGATAAAAAGTGCCAAAATTAAATAAATAAATACAGCATTAAATAAATAATTAAATGTGTCTATAATTAATTAAATGTGGAATTAAATAAATAAATGTGTCATTCATTAATTAAAACCACGTCACTAATATAAAGTGCCACAATTAGATAAATAAATACAGCGATAAACAATTAATTAAATGCGTAATTCATTAAATAAATAAGGAATTAAATATATAAATGTGTCATTAATTTAATAAAATACGTCTTCATTTTATTAAAAAAATATATATAATTATTTCAGTGTGCATTTAATTATTTCATGGTCCTGTGCATCGAAACCATTAAAAGAATCTGTCAAACTCACCCATCAAAGTTAGGGGGCGGGGTTAATGCGAATCGAGTCTCTGTAATCGATTTGCTTCGCCTTAATGTGCAGGGTGACCAATCAGGTGTTAGATAACCGCCACCTAACTTTGATGGGTGAGTTTGACAGATTCTTTTAATGGTTTTGATGCACTGCGACACAGGACCATAAAATAATTAAATGCACACTGAAATAATTATATATATTTTTTTTATAAAATGAAGATGTATTTTATTACCGTAAATTAATGACACATTTATATATTTAATTCCTTATTTATTTAATGAATTACAAATTTAATTAATTGTTTATCGCTGTATTTATTTATTTAATTGTGGCCCTTTATATTAGTGACGTGGTTTTAATTAATGAATGACACATTTATTTATTTAATTCCACATTTAATTAATTATTGAGACATTTAATTATTTATTTAAAGCTGTATTTATTTATTTAATTGTGGCACTTTTTATCCTCCATACAAGTGAGGTGGAGAGTCAGATAAATACTGTATGTTTGGTAGCCAGAGTAATGGCATCACATATATGAGGGGGTATAATGATTTAATGCAGGCCAAAAAAAAAAGTGTTTTGGCTACATTAGCTCATTTTATTTAGATTTACTGTATATCTTAAATTCATGAGTTTTAAATGTAGAACGAATTGCTTGTTTTTAGATCTGTTTTTCTTTAGAACCGTGCACCTGGCAAACTTCAGTTTCTTTCTACATCAGGTTTGTGCGCACCAATCTCTTGTTAAACACCTGTGATGCACAGCATCACACTGTGCGATTTTTTTCAGTACTTTCGTATTTGGAAAACAGACATGGCTGAGCAAATGTGGCTACTACGGTCTGTCAATTTTACAGACAGAACTGCATTTCACTCATTGCATCCCTGCCATGCTTCTGTGTTTACATCTGAGAGGAAGAAGAAAAAGAAGAATCCTTCTTTGCACACTGAGCGATTTGCCCACGACGGTTGAGACCTCCTGATCACGATTCCTGATCAGGAGGTGGTCGTGAGAGGCTGATCTCCCCTCGTTACCCCCTGTTGACTACACAACGCACGATCAGGCTGAAAGTCGAAAGATTTTCGCACGACTGGAAAATCGCCCTGAAAATCGCACAGAGTACGACCAGCTTAGCAAGTATAAAGTTCTGCCACAGGTCCTTAGACAGGGGTGTTCATCTTTGCAATCTTCTTACTGTTTGTTTGCAAATACAGTGTTGGATTTCATGGCATAAAAAAATGGTAAATTGGAAGCATACTTGAGGCAAGCTGTGAGCAGTTCTGTTTGACACAGCTGGCTAATTCCATTCAGTAATTCAGGACAAAAAATGTTGGAATTGAAATGATTGATTTGTATTCATATGGTAATTTACTTCATTTTAAAAATGCTGTTATCTAAAACTGCCCATGTTGATTCCACTGTGGATTTGACTATCAGCACGGTGGTTATCCAACCGTCTACTATGTGTGGCACAAGGGTTAATCCCCTGATGAGGAGCGCAGAGAAATAAAGATTTTTTTCTTAGTTTCCCCACTAAGCGGGAAAAAATGTTATTTCTTTTATATTTTGCCCCCTTTTTGTTTAACATTTAGGCACAATTAGCTTAAGTCTAATACATCTTGTTTGTCTAATCTTTTAAGCCTTTTTCAGCAGTGTGACACTGCTGTTCTTACTATGCCACAGCACCAAATCCTAGTATAGTATAGTTAAAGTGTGGGCAACAGATTATCAACAGTAAACTAAGAGTATCTTTTGTTGACTAAACCTAATTTTTTGCCTCTGCTATGTTTACGTTTTTTGTTGTTTTTTTTTACATGATAAACTACACAATTATAAAAACATATTTAGTGACAGGCTGTCCCCTCTTATCCTCTTATGAATGCACCACAACATTAAAAAAACACTTTCTTTAGAATCATGAAATTTCTTCTGGGGTGCATCAACACCACTATGTGAAAACAGGCTTTCCCCCACTCTTTGGATGCAGAACGCTGTGGCAAAGTTCATGTGATTTGTCATTATTGCTTAAACATATGTATTTCTGTATGGAGAAGTATGGTATTAACAAAGCTGGTTTATCCACCATGTTGGCTCATGCACATCTGGATGGTTTGTCCATTTTAGACATTAAAGGAGAGGTGGCACGCACGTCATCAAATTCTGCACTGCTTCTGGCAAAGCTTCTGCTTCACTCTTTCTTTCCTGTAAAACTCTGGCTGCAGCCAAAAGGATCTCATGAAGCAGGTCAAATGAATAAATGACTAGATCAATAGAGTGCTATCATCAATATGTTCGCAATTAGAGAATGGTATGCAAAGGGAGTCCAGCCTATCCAAACTTTGGATAAGCTTGTTGAGTGGAAAATACAGTGAACATTTCAGACTGCTGTTATATTGTGAAATACTCCTCGCATGCTTAAAGAGTTCTGGTGACATATTTAGCTTTAAGGAGGGAAGAGGAGGTGGATGAAGAGGAGGCAAAGGAGGAGGAATAAGCACCACCAGTAGGTCTCCCACAATCCAGCCACTTTTAAATAATCATGGAGGTACTGGAGGGTGTGGGCAGGTCCGACAAAGAGCCTGAAAATCTTATGTGCAATATGTTTTTTGTTAAGTTCTCCTTTATAAGTTTAAACAACGCTGCTTATGGTTCTTTTATGCCTGAATGATTCATATAGCTAAGAGGCTCTCAAAGATAAAATGTCCAGGTACAAATATTTAAGCTGAATGAAAAAGCATCCTAAGTTCTAGAAAACCATCAACACCTTCAGGAAACCTGGAAAACAACTGATCCAAACAAATTCCAGAAATTCCATCACAGGAAGGATAAATTGGTGAAGGCTTGGCTGAATGGCAGCAGTCAGTGGCGTCCCACAGCACATGGGTGTAAATAAACAAAGATAAAGTCAGTAAACATTTCCTGCTCTGGTTTCAGATGGTCATGGCCCTGGCATTCTAATGAAACTCTATCTGTTATTTGTGGGGCCTAAAAGTGTTTAATAAATAGCTAATATTATTGTTTTATTTAGAAAAAAACATAATCTGATGTCTCCCTTTTGCCCAGACAGCTTTTCAACAGGGACGTTCCAAGTCAAGACGGGCCCCAGATGTTCAACAAGCTTTACTGCATCAAAGTTGTGGTTCACTGGGTTCTGTCTCCCTCCACTATAACAACAGGATGGACTGACTCAGCCTGGCTGGTTCGGACGGCGTACCTGTGACGGCGGCTGCTTCCAGCCCAGCAGCGGCCCGATTGAGATGACGAAGGACAGGATCCAGACTCCCAGCATGGCCAGCAGGGCCCGCCTCTTGGTGACTACCATTGGGTATTGCAGCGGATAGCGGACGCCAACGTATCGGTCAATGGAGATGACACACAGTGACATGATGGACGCCGTGCAGCACAGGACATCCACTGCAGCCCAGATGTCGCAGAAGATTCGACCAAACACCCAGTAACCCAGAACCTGGAGACATCAAAATTTACAGAATAGATGTTTTAGGGCAGTTCTACTGTCTATAATATAGATTATATTTAAGTAATATTTGTCCCCTGATAAATCGCATCCAACTTTTCAGACAGTATGAGATTAATACTATATGGTGACTTTTAGACATTTAGATCCAATCATAACTTATTTTTACAGCTGGAAATATTTCTTATAACTCAATGTCTTCAGCATGTGTGAGAGGTGTTCCACAGGGATGTGTTTCATCTCCTTGGTTTTGTTAGTTCATACAAATAAGCTGCAGACCTGAACCTTCAGAGGCACATAAAGGCAGTTACTAATTCAGGACTAATGTCCAAGCGGGATCTAGAATAAATCGGTCATGCATTTATCTTAATTTAAATTGATCACTGCAACAGTGTCTTCATAGGTTTGCCCAAAAAGTCCATCAGACGGCTGTAGCTGATCCAAAATGCTGCTGCCCGTGTTCTCACTAGAGCTAAGAGAGTAGAGCACTTCAGTCCGGTTCTGAAGTCCTTCCACAGGCTCCCTGTATTTCAAGGTATGGACGTTATAATCCTTCTGTTAATCTATAAATCACTGAATGGATTAGCACCTACGTGTATAACAGATTTGTTGTAGTGTATAAACCTCAGACCACTCAGGTCTTGTAGTTCAAGTCTACTCTGTACACCAACAACTAGAACCAAACATGGAGAAAAAGCGTTTAGTTCCTATGCTCCATTTATTTGGAAAAAATTTCAAAAAGAGTGGAAAAGGGATGAAAGCCTGAGTTCTTATAAGTCAAAGTTAAAAACCCATTTGTTTAGAATTGCCTTTGAATATTAAAGATAAAGTTTTAACTAAAGTATTATTACTTTAAGTTTGTGGTCCATCTGTTTTGTTAGTTTTACTTGTTTTTTTTTATCTTTACTTGCTTTTATTCTGCTTTTATTTTCCTTCTATATTATTGTTTAAGTTATTTAAAGCACTTTGAATTGTCTTTGTACTGACCTGTGCTATAGAAATAAACGTGCCTTGTCTTCTGAAAATTAAAACAGATGCTATGATCCAACAGTTATTTTTTTCTTATTTCATGGAAAACTAATTTCTGCTATAACTTGAATAAGCTGTGGGTTCGGGGACAGTCACTGTTTACAATCCAATTTAAAAATGTCCGATCGGGGAGCTTCACTCAAAAAATGCATAGTGCTGAACACAGGCTGATGGATCAAAGGTCAATTACTCAAAATATTTTCTTTTTAATTATAGCATGTTATCACAGAAATCTGAGTTAAACATCAAACAAAATACAGATTACTGCCAGACATTATACGGTCTTCATTCTATTTAGGTTCTAGAGGACCTAAAGTTATACATGCACAGAAAACTGGAAATAAATCCTTTATTCCTCATGTTATAAAGACTAAAAACTGGAACAATTGCATCAGTCCACCTTCATTGATAAATTATCTTTTGTATATTTTGTTTTTCTGCTTTATTTATTTATTTTTGATGAAAGTCGGTATTTCCATAAACCTTATAAACAAGTACACACATACATTTCCACCTCACTCTGTCAGAGTAGTATCACAGAATCATTTTTAGGAATGCACCATTATGGCTGATAACAGATATTTACCAAAATTGTTTCCTACAGCCACCCTTTGATCACCATTGAAAACCGACCATAGTGCTGACATTGCCTCTCTGTTAAACACCCACAATCCCTTGCTATATCACTGTCACACGACAAAAAAACCCCCATCACATTGTAACATTTGCGGTTACATTAGCCCAGTTCTACTTATTGAACCAAGACTGATGTGTCAAAATGACATCTGCCGATACCGATCTTAATGCGGACATAACATG